CACACACCCACACACAGTGGTACCTCTAGTTACGAACGCCCCTACTTACAAATTTTTCAAGATACGACCAGCTCCGGCCCCAACTACTTACGAACTCGCCTCGACTTACAAACCGGATCCGCGGCCATTTTCCGCCCGTTCCACATGGTCCGCGGCCGTTTTTCCACCCTGCCACATGGCCCACAGCCGTTTTTCCGCCCCTGAGGCATGGTCCGCGGACGCCGGAATGGATTAACGGTAATTACATTGAAACTTATGGGAAAATTTGCCTCGTGTTGCGACCAATTCGAGTTGCAACCAGAGTCACGGAACGGATTAAATTCGTAACTCGAGGTTCCACTGTATATAATTTTTACTAAAAGAAGATTTTACAAAGATTTTAAAAAACACTACAGAAACAAAGAAGAAATAGAAAAGTATAAAAGGGTAAGAAGAAAAAAAATGAAGAACAATTCGAGTTGCAACCAGAGTCACGGAACGGATTAAATTCGTAACTCGAGGTTCCACTGTATATAATTTTTACTAAAAGAAGATTTTACAAAGATTTTAAAAAAAACTACAGAAACAAAGAAGAAATAGAAAAGTATAAAAGGGTAAGAAGAAAAAAAATGAAGAACACGACATTTTAGTCCTGAGGCTGTTCTGACCCCTGATAAGCCGGTGAGGAGGGCGTCCCCCAGGCCCTCTTGGCTTCACGGGTCCCGCTCACCACAAGCTTTAAACACCCCTGAAAGCAGCCAAGATTTACTTTAGAGCCCCTTCAACAGTTTGCAGACAAACTGGGTTTAACGTGAACATAAGGCTCACTCTTTTATTGCCTGACTCTGCCCCTTAGGGCCGGTTAGATTGAAGTGGCATAAGTCTCCCTGGATAAGTCAGTCAATGGGGTCTGGTTCCACATTTGCCACTTTTGGGGGGGCTCCTCGGGGCACGCTGCTCAAACAGCATTGAGGTCCTCGGCCTGGAGAAGCTTCTGGGCCTGCAGTTTGCCTGGGTCTCAGCAGGGGGCAGTGCCTGGTGGATCGCCTCTCGGCTGGGAAGCTCAGCAAGGTCAGGAGTGATTGGATGGGAGACCACCAGGACTGGATGCTGTGTTGGGAAGTCAGAAAAATGTCCTGGAGGAAACAGTGGCCCACCACCTTCACGTTGTTGCCATGAAAACTACACGGAAGTCACATGGGGTCAGGGTGATTCGAAGGGGACTTTATTGCTGCTAGCTTTACATTTGGGCAGACACTGGGTGAGCTAACTGCAAGCCAGGGTGATGCAGAAATTGGAATAGAAACATCAGAGTGAAGGATATTGTGCTATTATCTGAGTTCATGTTTCAAGATCCTCCACAGAGTTAAGAATTCATGAGAAAATGGTATCATCATTTGTACGGATGGGAGTTTCAAGACATTTAGAAGAACAGCTGCCTGGCGTAGATTTGGGAAAGGATGCTGTGCTACTGCAGCTGAACTAACTGGTCGAAAACAGAAAAATGCGACCATGAAAGCGTTTTTGCCAACGGTGGTCCTCCCATCTACCTTCCCACCAGTCTGGCCAGCCGGGCCTGAGGGAACCGGTCTACAGGGCCATCCCCGAGCGGAGGGAAACTTTCGTCAAGGGTTTCTGTTCCGGATCCAGCGCAGCCTTGGAAGGGGGCAGAGAAAGGTAAAGGGACAGGCTGAAATAGGATGTGCTCAGAACGGAAGGGCCACACGGAGAACAGGGCTGGGCCCTCAGGAGAAGCCACGTGCTCCTCGAGACCAGGAGGCAGCGTCCTGCCCAACCAGCAACCACAACAGCCTCAGCCCGGCTCTGCGGCTCTTCCGGCCAGCAACGTTTCAGAGACCGCCTGTCCCCATTTTCCAACGCATCTGGTTTGCAGCATTGGAACCGCCGGCAGCTTGAGTCAAGGCTGCCTGAAACACCCCCCTTCTGTCCTGAGACAAGGACCGACCCAGCACACCTTGTTCTGGAGCACCAGCGGCTGGTTTCAAACCAGAAGCAGCTGGTTGGAGCCCAGAGACTGGAAGGCTCGCTTAAGCTGGCCCTCCTCTGCGCTCCTTCCTTGAAGGAGGCCAAAGGAGGATTTTGAGAAAACGTACCACGTGGAAGGACAGACATTTATTGCATAGGCTGCTACAAGGATCGTGAACGTGACCGGCATTGAAGTGGCTGAACATGGCTCTGGTTCTGCTCTAGGAGGACCAGAGGCCCCTGCAAGAGAGCCGGCGGGACAGTTTCACTGGAGAGCCACCCTCTTTCGAAGCTGACGTGGGTGGATCCCCCTTTCCTGTCTTTGGAGCCCTGCTCCACTGCTTTAATTGCTGGAGACTATCGCGGCAACTGGAAGGGCTCAAATCAAGGAGCGCGATGCCTCCGTGCTTCCCCACGAAGACAACTTGCTTCACCTGGCCGAACTGGCAGGCCCAGCTTCTCAGCAGTCCTTGAAAGCAGAAGAGCAGCGGCCCCTGGCTCTCCTTTCAAGCCTTCTGCACCTGCCAGCACAGTGGGGCAGAGCTACTGCGGGGACCTTGAGAGCTGCTTCGTGGCTTCGACCGCTGGCGATCTGTGCAGACGCAGCCCAGACCTTCTGGCTAGACCTAAAATGCAACCGCTTCTAGATAAGTGAATCCCAGCTCAGCGTTAGCGAAGCATGCCCCCTTGAAATGTCTTTTATTTAGCCCCTTTAGGCTATGCGGTAGGAACCCCACAAAGAGGCGCCATCTTTACTGATTTCTGGCTCTGCCTGGCAGCCTTTAGCAGGAGCCTGACTTGATGAGGCTTTTCAGGCATCGATGAGGCTTGTCCAGATCAGGCTCCTATTATTGGAACAAAAATGGACCGGGGTCGGGGGGGAGAAATAATCACCCCCAGAGCATCAAGGGACTGACAACTAGGGTTCGTGGCCATATAAGATGTCATTTGCGTAGCCGAGACATCTTTTAGTAGATGAAACTTTCCTCCAGCTGAACCTCCAGTTCTCTCCAAAACTACTGACAGTCCTGGAGCTCTGCCTCTGGCCACCCGCAGAGTGCCCTAAATTTGCCAAGGCCATCATCTACAAAGATGCTGTAGAAAACAGGATGGGGAGTTTTCTTTCAGCCTTCATGGCCGAGGCTTCCTTGATCATTCGTACGAGTGACCTCTGCAGATAATCAACAGCAACGTTTGCTGAAGTGCCTCTGGGATACGGGACGGGGTCTTCTGAATGTGTGGCACAGGCGAGGTCATTTGCAATGAGCCAGATTTGGTCATTTCAGCTGAGGAAGGAACTGTGACCAGCTCAGATCAGTCTCCAGGTCGTCATTCTCAGTGTCCGGAAAACTGACGTCTAGTGAGATTTTGCTCCAATTATCAGGCATGGTATCCAAGATAAGACCTTCCAGAAGGGAATTGTCCCCTGGAAGCTCAGAAGCCACCTTGCTGGATGTGGGAGAACTGGTCAAGAGCCCAGGGACTATTTCACCAGCTTCTGTGTTTAAAAGTGGACGCTGGGGAGAATCACACAGGGTTTGTCTCAGTGGAGTCTCATTAAACCCCAGAAGATCTAAATTATCCTGGAAGGGCAGGAATGGCAGTGGAGAAGGTCTCAGAGGGCTGAAATCAAGATCGCTCCTTTCCTTGACCGAAGGGGCCAGTCTCCACTGGTCAGTAGCTGGCAGGAGAGATGGGGTGGTTATGGGTGTTTTATTAGGGGTGGAAGCAGCTGGCAGTCTGCAGTACATCTCCTTCACTGGAGTCTTAAAACAGCCCACTTCCCCCAGACCACAGGCAAGATGGGGCACATTTCCTAGAGGTTCCTCCAGAGTGGAAGGAGGACTGTGCCCCATCGGGAATGAACTTGCGCCACTACTGAGGGGGAGGAGGAGGACCGGTTCTTCCGAGGAAGAGAGAGCTAAGTGCTGTTTCCTTCTGGATCTGCCCAATTCTTGCCTCTTTATGACCAGCGTGCTCTGGGGGGTTGATCTGAGATCTGCAGCCTGTCTCTTTTGTTTCATGGGGGATGCCTGGACACAGAAGCTCTTCTGCTCTTCACTACCTTGGGCTGGTTCCTCCTTTACAGGCCATGCAGGGAGGAAGGAGGAGGTTAACTCCTGGCAATGGAAACTGTCACTCAGGACTCCAGCGGATGGTTCTCCGCTGTCTGTACAGGTGCCTCCCTCGAGAGACTGGTGGGGGGTCAATGAAGGGGACGCTTCCCCACAGTCCCTCTCCTCCTTTATGGAATCTGCAGGAGGCAACAGGACCGGCTCTTCACTGGAGCGCAGGATCTGCAAAACAGACATGGAAAGGAAGAAGTTTATTCTGTCCTCTCAAGCTGTCAGTCGTTCCTAGCCTCCCTTTTAACTGGTATTAGAGCTGCAGTTTGAGCGAAGAGGGATCTCCAACAACTTCTGTGGAATCTATGTATTGGCCAGGGATCCTGCACTGCGCAATGCTGTGGGCCTGGGAAGAGCATCAGCCCGTTTTCTGAGAATGCGAAATGCACTGCACTCCAGACTACCAGAAGGGAGTGTCACAAACTAGCCAACTAAAGTTAAGAATAACCAAATTTTCACGATGCATGAATGCATCTGAGATTTTAGTTGCATACGAATCGTGTTTATTGCGGTTGGTCTTTTTTCCTACCAATCTTTTTTTAATTGTTATTCAGACTGGCTCTGTAGCCATCCTCTGAACTTTTTATTTGGATAAATTTGAAAACAAATACTCACAGCAGGAACCATCCAAACGCTGCACACAGTTCTGGCTTATCGCAACTATACCCCACGAGCGCAAGAAGCTTTGCCAAGCCGTCATACCAAATCCAGGCTAACCATCGCCAGTGGCGCCTGTGCGTTTGGGGGCAGTGGGGGATCTGCAGTCTTGATGTGGAATCCGTCTCATGAGACTGGATGAGACCAAACTGCCTTAAGGGGGGGGACCAAGTGCCGAGGAGGTGGGGAGAGAGCTCTGTGTCCTAAAACGGGCAGGGAAAACAAACCGACTTCCTGCCAAGGTCCTGCTCAGTTTCCAGGGACATTCTAAGCTCTTCCTTGCGAGGCAAAGCCCTCCCCGCCTCAAGTCTGGAGAACCGCGTACGGATGGGGGAACTGCCTTGGAGACAGCCGGGCCCGATTCCACGGGGGCCAAGTTGCCAGCCCAGCCCCGGACAGCTGGAGCACCCAGAGAAAGGCGAGGCGGGGTGGGAGACTGACCTTTGGAGCGGGGCGCTCCCCTCTGTTGATCTGCACGGCCCCCAAGGCCGCTTGGGCTGCGGGCAGCGGTGGCCTCGAAGGCGTCTGAAGACGAAGAGGCTCGCTCGTGGGGAACTGGGCGGGAACCAAGTAGGAGCTGACCCGTGGCATCAAGGGCTTAATCCGCGGCCCTGAGAAAGACAAGCTTCAGGTCAGCCGAGAGCTGCCTAGCGGAGGTTAGCCATCCTGGAGGCTGCTGCGCTGAAGTCTCCCTTTCCGGTTCTGCGCTACTGAAGCACGAACGAAGATGCAAACCCTCCTCCAAGGAGCCGAGCAATTTAACAACGTTGCCTGCGACTGAGCTCCCCGCCTGCTCGGGGCTCCCCACGTTCCTCTGAGCCGCAGCAGCACTTCCCTGGCTTTACAACGGCCCCGACAATTCAGATGCAATCATTTCTTGCTGCTTTTCTAGGAATGGTAGCTCTAGATCGACCACCAGGGTATCTGTTTCTGACCAGGGATATCTTCTATGGACATATTTTTATTTCCTAAAGAGCTTGATGCACAACTGCAATTAAAACCCCCAAACAAGAGTAAAAAGGAAATAAGTGGCCCGGCAGGTAGAAAGCAGGGCTCTCCTGGCCCCACGGCAGGGAACTGGGGGGCCTGGAAAAGCCTCACCAGACGGCCCCGGCCAGCCGTTCCAGCCACGCGGGCTCAGCTGTGCAGGAATCACAGCCGCTTTGCCGCTTGTCCATACCCAAGAGACGCACAGGGAGCACCCCATGGTGCCATTCCCCACCCTTCCCATGCCTGGCTGGGGTAACAGGAGGGGAAAGGGAACCAGCCCAACAGAAGAGGAACAGATATGCCATCTTCTTGCAAACTGGCCACCCAAAGGCTGTGAAAGGATCTGCCTTTTCTTCTCCTGGGCTAGGATGAAACAGGACTCTGAACGCCCCAAAGAAATCTCGATGGAAGGGCGGCAAGAGGACCTCTTTGCTCCCACCCCCTCGAAATGACCCCCGGCCAGGCAGGGCCAGATTGCCCAGTTGCTCCTCTTCAGAGACCAGCAGACCTCGGCAGCAACTGGCCCAGCCCACCCAGGGGCCTTCCCTGGGCGCTTCCCCGTCAGCAGGACCTTTCTTTGCAAGGCAGCTTCCGCGTCCCACCCAGAAAATAAAAACGGCAGTGGCTTGCTCTGGAAATGTGCCCCCGCTCCAAAAGAAAAGGGTAATTGGGAAGATAAAAACCCTCCAGAGGGTCATGAGATTGTCCGGGCCGGGCGCAGTTCTCCTCAGTCGGAAGCTCGCTGAGAGCAGCGTTTTGTGCCAGGCCAGGCCTCCCTCCTGGGGCTGCCACCTGGGGACCGGGGGAGCCTCCCCAATGCTGTGAGATTGATGGCAGATCATTCACGGCATCTCACTTGACCGAACAGTCCCAAGCACGGCACCCAATTTGGGCCACGTCCCTCCCCAGTCACGGAACGAAGGAGGGCAAAGGACAGCCGCCATCCTGCCCTTGAATAAGATGCGGTGTCCCCAAGCGCTCGAGCAGGGCAGGTTCTCGTCAAGCATTTGCTGCCAAGGTGGGCCAGGCGTCCCAAGGGGGTCTGTGGGCTGCTCGGAACCGCTGGCCTTGAAGGACAGGCAGCACCTGTGCACGGCCTCCTTTGAGAAGGCGATGGAGGAGCCTGGTCCCCCAAAATAGGACCCAGATAACGAAGAGGGAGATGCATTTCCAAGAAGGAAGCTGTCGGATAACAGAAGCTGTGGATGCCCCTGAGTCTTGCACAGCTCCTGGGGTCAGCCTCAACTGCACAGGAAAGGGCAGACGATGCCTGGGAATAACTGTGGCAGGCGGACTGGCAGCAGAGATCAGAGGGGATGCCGAGTCTCATCTGCAGGACCGGCTGGATTGCAGGGAGGACAGAAAGCCAGGGGAGAGGTGCGGCGGAGAGCAGCCTCTCAGATAATCCTGGGTAGTGATGGGAACGAAAGGAGGAGGCGGCAAAATCCATTCTTCTGTGAGACCAGCCAGGGAGAAGAATCCTCCCCAAGGTGAGGCGTGGAAGCGTCATTCCTACAAGGGCAACGGGCACCGCTGAGAACAGCACAATTCTGAAAAGCCTCTGGGCTCTAGAAAAGTACCATTAAATGATGACCCCATGGGGGCCAATAGCAAGGGGTCAGGTGACACTCTAGATCCTCTTGTCCTGTGGAGAACAATGGAATGGAACCTAATCCACAGATTCTCCGCGATGTCATACTCCTGAATTCCCTTTCTGGCACAGAGGCACGAAAAGGGGTCACGGGTGTCCGACTGTGGGTTGCCCCCTGAAGCAGAGAAAGCTGGATCTGTAGATGTCCTTCCTCAAAGGGTTTGCTTTGTTATCTCTCTACATGTTTAATGTCTTCCACAAAGACAAGGGGGGGGAAAAGAAAAGAAAACCTAGAATAGTTTTACTGTGAATTCTGGGCTTTATGGAAGGCTTGTCCTATTTTAATCCAGGATTAGTGCTGACTTTGTCATCTGACACACAATACATGATGGGGTGGTGAGGAAATTCACAGAAATGTCTTTCTTCTCTGCATGCTATTATTAAGCTATTCTACAGCTAGTAGCTTTCTTTCAAATTTCAGTTTTCTGCAGCGGACACTCATTACGTTAGTTATTTATTCACGTCCAGATACTAGAGAATGAGAGAAGGTTAAGGGGCCATCTTGTTTTTACAGTCCGGCAGAAGCAAATATTTGCATCAGGAACCTGATTCCTCCCTCTAAGAAAAGGCAACATCCCTAGATGTTGTCCACACGAGAAAATTCTCCATTTCCCCCCTCTCTGCTTCTTTCCTTTTTTTCTTTTCCCCTAGAGGAGGAACAAATTAACCTATTGCAGCAAAAGTTGCTATAAGTCTCATAATAAAGACCACTACGTCTACAGAAGCTTTTCTGAACTGTACTCCACATCTGAGGTGGCATTAAGAAAATATGCCGTTGTCTTTTCTCAACTTCCGAGGATGGTATGGCGAACTGAAGATGTCTCCATGAAAGTGGAGCTGATGACCGAGGCAAAGACCAAGGAACCAGTGAGTAGACCAGTTCCTTGGAACCCCTCCGGATAAGGAGAGGACGGGAGGTTGCCAACATGTGTCCTGGATGGCTGGTTCTCACGAGGAGACTGCAGGACAGTGGCTTTCTGTGGGTTTGAATGCCAGAAATGGGATCAGCCATCTTGCTCACAACTATGACAGAGCCTTTTAAAGGACATTAAGTTTGCAAACCTCACTTTCTAATCACTTTTGGAAATTGCCTATTAACCACCTTAAAGCTATTGCAGACCTTCAGAACAACAAGTCTGAAAAGTCTTCATTGGGTGAGTTTATCTTCAACTCTGAACAAAAGAAAAATTAATTATAAGCTTAAGAACTTAAAGAATTTGAAATAAACAGCCAAGAGCTAAGTAAGATTTTGATCTAAGAAAGTTATAAACGGATTAAGGATCCAGATAAATTTGGAATATTGACTTTTACTATAAGACTTTGGAATTAATTATAAAAAATAAATAGCTTCTCATTGGAAACAGACTTATTTTGGCTATCCTGGCTATTGTAAGCCATGACAAAGATAAATTACTTTATAATTTTATAAACTGGACATTAGAGAGGACTAAAGATTCTAAGCAGAAGGGGGAAAAAATATAACCCTGTTTTTTATGTCAGTTGACACTGGGACTTACAAAATGATACAAAATGTTATAACATCAGAAACATTAAAGGAGATTTTTGAAGAATGAAGCCAGAAATTAATAACTACAATATCAACGGTGTCAGTAACGATGTAATAATATCAGTAATCAGTAATATCTTCTATGGATAGACTATGTCCAAAAGATGTTAATGAAGGGATGATAGATGTGGAACAAATTTTATCTGACAAGATAGAGAAACTACCAAAAGTGGAACTACAAATGACAGGCCAAGAGAATGATTTGGAAAATGATGCTTTCTGGATATACAAAAGAAATTGGCTGAAGTTTTAAAAATTAAAAGGGAAATACAAATGATAAACCAAGAGAATGACCTGGAAAATGTTTTATTATTGAATCTACAAAACAGGCTTTTCAAAGTCTTGAAGAAATCTGCAATGGGATAAAGAAGAATCGAAAAAATGATGCTTTCTGGATATACAAAAGAAATTGGCTGAAGTTTTAAAAATTAAAAGGGAAATACAAATGATAAACCAAGAGAATGACCTGGAAAATGTTTTATTATTGAATCTACAAAACAGGCTTTTCAAAGTCTTGAAGAAATCTGCAATGGGATAAAGAAGAATCGAAAAGAAATCAAATCCTATGACAATATTTGATTGAATTAAAGATTAAGATTGTTAAAAGTAAAAGGAAGGAATGTAAAGTTGGTTTATTTGATCAAGATTGAAATAAGACATTTTTTTGCAAAGTTCTGGTAACCTTTATGGACTTTTTGCTGACACCAGGATTAAAATGTTGACATTTTATGGATTTGCTTATAGATAAGGGATGGGATATGGGATGAAGAGGTGTCTGTTTGTAGTCTTACGGGGGCAAAGAGTTATTAAACCTGTTTATACTTGTTATGATGAAGATTGGAAGTCACTTCTTTATGTATTTCATTTCTTTTTCCTTATTATGTTCTTTTCTTTTTCTTCTTTCTTGCTTTTCTCCTGTACTCTTTATTCTTTTTTTCTACTCTATTTCCTTTCTCTAAGTTTAGTTTGTGTTAATTTTTACTATTGTAATCAAAATGCTTAATAAAAACTATATTTTTTAAAAAAAGGAAATGTGCTGTTGGCCACCAAAGACGATCATCTCTTGGCTACAGAGCCACCTTCAGGCTCTGTACTCTGCGAAGAGACCAAGGCAACCTGCACTGGCTGGCAGCAGCTCTGCAGGCTTCTGGGAGGTCTGCCTCGCTTCCTGGCCGCGGCCCGGGAGCCTCCTGGATAGGGAAGAGCGACCGGGCTGAGGGCCTGAAGCTCTCCTGTGGGAAAGCCGCCTTTACAGAGCCTAAGGCCTTTCTCTCTCTCTTCATGACACGTTCAGCCCAGCGGATGGGCTGCGGCCGCTCGAATGCGACCCTTCGCCGAGGTCTTGGGTTCAGTGTCTTTTGCACCCCAAAGGGCAGCCGGGGTAAAACTCCAGTGAGTTGTGGCACTGCTAAAGGCCGCCCCACTCTCTGCCCTTCCCACCAGCTGAAGGGCTTCCGGTTGCTTCCTCCACCAACCGGCCTGCCGAAGGGCTCTGTCGGGACACAAGCACACACTACGCTACTCACGGGACGTCTGGGGCTCCGCTTTGCTGCCTTTCACGTTCTTCCGCAGATCCAGAGCAGGCCGTTTCTGCTGCTGCGTGAAGTTAGATGGAGAGACAAGAAAAGGAAAGTTAGGGTCCAGCTGCCCCACGTCGATGGAAGTAAAGCAGGGAGTGGAGCTAATGCAGGGCTAGGGGACCCCAGGGGGTTGGTCTGCCTTTAGGGGCTGTCCCCAAAGCCCCCCAGAGCCTGAGGTGACACAAGAAAAACTCCTCCAGGGTCTTCTCCACTGCGCAAAGGAGGAGGATGGCTGGGGCTTAGTCTAAGGAGAGAAACCCGGAGCAGCCCTTCGCACTGAACGGCTCCTTCAAGCAGCCAAGTATCACCCCCTTGAGAAAGAGAGAAGACCTTTAAAGGCGGACGGAGCCTGTCCGTCTGTCGACTTGCAGGCGCTGAGAAAAACATTTAGGGTCATTCGTCCCCCAGACTCCTTCCCAAAGCGTTCCGTTTCCTTTCCCTCTTGGCTGTCATTTGGGGGTGCTGCCAGTCCAGGTCTGCTCACTCTTCAGATCACTCTTATGGATAAGCGTAGACCGTGGCCCAAACCTTGAGCAAAGCTCCTTGAGGATACGAATAGCACCCGGCCTGGATTCCCTCTTCTTCTGTCCTTACAACGCTCATCCCTTGGCTGATCAGACCGATCCCCCGGGCAGAGGATTTGGGGAGCACACAGCAAGTCGTAGCTCTGCCTGGGGGAGCCGTAACTGCAGATTTTGGCAGGAGCAGCAATATTTTACACCTACTACAACGTTCAAGAATATTTCTAAAGACATGTTCTGCCACTTCAGCTTCCAAAGTGAGAAAAATGGGTGTGTCCTATCTTGCCTGTCTCTTCTGGGAGCATCACAGGCAGTTGTTGTTACCACAGGGAGGGGTCTCCTCCAGGAACAAGTGTCCAGGGTCCCTCTTCTCATTTTAATTCGGGGGGGGGGAGAGGAGCCTTCTGAATCCCCAGACTGCAGGAGAAGAGCAAGCAACGTGCTCCCTCCGAGTCTTTTTGGAACTGGGAGCTGAGTTTTGATAACTGTATTTCAGAAGCAAAGAGTTAAAACAGGCAATGCAGAAGAAAAGCAAGGAAGGAGAGAAGGGCCTGGAAATTTCACTGAAATACACTAAAAGTTGCTATTTCGGTTTAAGAGGTTTTTCTTTTGGATTTGCCAAATTCAGAAGACTCCCCCAACTCCATAAAGACTCTTGATGGCCCACATTAAAGACAGCAAGAACCAAGTCAACCAAGGATAGAACGTCCATCCAGAACTATTCAAGCAAGCCCTAGCCCTAACCACCAACAGAGGACTGCCACCCACCCTCACCCGAGGAAAAAGCCAAGTCCAGGTGGGGGCCATACGGATCTCTGGAGGACGCTGCTCCAGAGCATTGCAACAGAAAAGGCCCAGTTCTGGGGTCCTGTCAGGTGGCACGGTTTGATGGGTGGGGCCTGGAGAATGCCAGCTCTCCCTGTTCATACAGGAGGGGCAGAAGCTGTCTGAGATGGGCGGTCCCTTAGATGACCAGGCCCTGTCATGAAGGGCTTTATAGGTGATAACCACCCTTCTGAATCGTGCTTAGACGCCAAATGGCAGCCAGCATAGCTCCCAGAGCAGTGGTGTCACGTGAGCATGGCGCGGCTTGCCCATCTCTGCCCACGTTGCTGCATTCTGGAGCAGCTGCAGCTTCCCGGTGTTCTTCAAGGGAGCCCCATGCAGAGCACACGGTGAGTTTGGTGGTTTCAGAAACGTCTGCTGTGACCGAAGGAACAGAAACTCAGTTAGGACATTTCTATCTTCTGAGCTTCATAAAAGGAATTCATTGACTTGGCAGATAATGGGAGTAATATTAGAAGAAATGTGTTCAGGAATTTAAATGTTCACAGCCGGTGTGCATGTTCCCAAGAGCAATCTTCTCCTGTGAGTAGGTAGAATGAAGGCAACACCCACTCTGTGATGTAGAGGGGAATTAAAGGGGAGGGGGCTGGATGGGGGGGATGCTAGTTCTGCACCTGGAAACAAAACATCTCTGGCTGAAGATACAACTATCTCAAAAAGAGACAAAGGAAACCCAGTTCTGATTTTTACTGAGCCAAGCAGATGGCCCTCGATTGTATGTTCAAAGGACAGGGATTCAGAGGCCCAAAAAATTTTGGACAGATTTTTGTTCCATGCACAAAAAAACCTTTGGACAGATTTGGAGCATCCACTCTGCTCAATAAAGCTTAATGTATGGATGAGATTTGCCTCCTCCCCTCCAAAGCAGCTACTTAATGCTGAAACTGGCCAGAGCAGTTCCGGATGCCTGGCCTGCAGAGATGCAGAATGTAGCCTCCTCACCCATGTTCAAGTACTTCCCTTGAGGAACCCGGTAAAGTCAGCTTTCCATGAAAAGCCTGGTAGGGAGTCATCCATTCTCCAAATGGAGACGCTTTTCCGGGAGTTTCTGGACCGAGGAAAATACTGTGTCATCCTGAGGGCAGCTCCTTCTTCAGAGTTGTCAGACCAAGGAGCGCTTTTGCCCACAGAATTTCTACTGCATTCGATCTATGAATTTCCACACAAGAGGAGGAGGAAGGTGGAGACGATTGATTCTCCTTCAATGCCAAGGAGGCAGGAATGGCTGGCCACACTCCGAATGGCCAACTGAAGAACTGGAGGTTCTGAACTTGTCTCCTCTCAGTCTCCTGAATAGGAATTTGTCTGAGTCAGTCTGTTATCCAATACAATTTCTCTAATAACCATTTCACCTTGTCATGGAGATTAAATTTGGAGGGTTCTAATAATGCTGAAGCCTCATTTTGGAAAGGCAGATACTTCATGCCACATTGACTATTGCTATAGGACATAGCATTTTTTAAAAGGAGAAGTGACTACACTATAAATAGATTTTTTCCAAAGTGACTGAAATTCTGGCCAGGCGATATTCCCTATCTTTTTAAGAGCGTTCTTAGAAGGAAACTGGAACCTCAATAAAATAAAAAGACCGCCATGGAAAATCCTACCCAGTTTGATGGCTTTAGAATTCACCTTTCTGGAGTCACCAGTGGCAGCTGACCTGTGTGGTTCAGAGAACTAGTCCAGACCTGTCTATAGGCTGCACTGTTTATTTTTTAATCTAATTTTTATCCTGCCTTTATTTTGGGTCACCTCAAGGCAATGAACATATCTAATGCTCCTACCCCCTATTTTCCCCACAACCACCACCCTGTGAGGAGGGCTGGGCTGAGAGAGAACAACTGACCCAAAGTCCTCCAGCCAGCTTTCATGCCTAAGGGAGGCCTGGCATTCTCCATCTCCTGGTTTCTAGCCCAGCACCTTCACCACTGCACCTACCTAGCTATGACCATTCTTCCATTTTTTAAATTGACCCTCTTGTAGGACTGGGCAAGAGCGATTGAGATAGCTTGTGAAGATTTCAGAAGGAAGCAAGCAGCGTTCTGGGACAGCCATCAAGATTGGATAGCTGATCTCTCCTTTCCTATCTTTCTACCTATGGGTTGAATGGAAGACCTACTAGAGGAGAAAAGGCAAGTATGTGTAGATTATTTATATACATTCACTCTTTTTCTCTCCACCAAAAAGCATTCCAGAGAGAGAGAGAGAGAGTTGTGTGTGTGTGTGTGTGTGTGTGTGTGTGTGATGGGGAACAACTCTCTTTTTGGCAAGAGGTCCATTAGCCAGGGATACCATACCACAGAGCAATTCAAAGACAACTTGTGCCAGTTCTTATGTGAAGGTCAGAGTCAAGACCAGATTGAAGGGCAAAGCCCTTCCATAGAGGAATGTGCCATCTTCTTCTTTCTTCAATCTCCTTCTGTGGTCAGAAAGGGTGGCTGGGAGGACCAGTCAGTTGGCCCATCAGTTTGTGATGACCTCTGCTGTGGGGGAACTGCTGCACTGCTCCAACATGCTGCAGAGGTGTGAAGCACCCAAGATCACCACACCATGTCTCGGCCACTTCACAATGGCTCTAGCTAAGTTAGAAGGACAAAACAGAGTGAGAGAACAAGAAAGTCCTTGCAAGACCTCCTTAGAAAGGAAATATGGGATTGCAACTCAGGAGGGAAAGTAAAGAGGACAATTCATTTGGAGATCCTCTCCAGGTGAATTGAAATGAGATGTTGGACCCTGAGTACTTGCTCCAGGAGAAGATGCTACTTCAAGGAAACAAACACTCACTATGAAGCTGTCAGCCTTGTGAGGTAGTCCAGACAGGAAGCACAACCAGATGGACTAATTCTATTTTATTGTAATGTTACATTAACAGAATCTTGCAAGTCTGAAAGTACATTTCTCCCCATTGCCTTTACAGCCCAAGAAAGTAGGGGAGGTTCCCTTCTGAGACGTTTGCTGTGCCCCCATTCCTTTGGCAGGCTCAGCTGCCTCTTGTCTGACCGTTCCCCTGGCTGTGGCTCTTCCCCCGTCTCCCAAGGTCATTCCCACAGACCATGGCAGAAGCTCAGGAGAAACACCACATGTGATTCACGTCTGTCCAAAAAGGCATGTCAGGGAAACCTCTAATCAATCAAAACCTGCTTCACAAATCTTTCAGAATCCACATAAAAAGCTTTTTCACCGTCCTGCTGAGCCCTGCCTATTGAGCTAAAGCTGCTACACGAGTGCAAAATCTAATATCAGAATCTCGACAGCTCCATAAAAAACAGCCTGAACTGGACCAAGGTGACTGTTAAAATCATAGCATCTACTTCTTCAAGGAAATAGGTCTATAATCAAAACACTTAGTAGAGTGCCACCCAGCCTGGGCAAGATAATGATATAAATCTCAATAAAAGTAGGAGGCAGAATCTGTTGAAAAAGTCTGCATCAGATCCCCAGTGCCTCGTCTTTCTGAAACACAATAAATCCACAAGTAGAACCAACGATTTCTTAGAGCAACACCGTGGCTTCTCTGCTTGGATGAGCCTTCAATTCCTGACTCCCATAATATCTATAACCTTATTTGGGCACTTCTCCAGGGACTGCACTGCTACTTCAGAATAGTTGAGGGGTGAATGTCATCATCCTGATGAAACAATACTCCAAGCGGTTCAATTATTGATCGCCCTCTCCCAGGGAGCGGAGACAGACGAGCCGGAGAGGCAAAGCAGAACCAGATCACACCCCCAGGACCCACAATATGCCTGTGGAATCAACTCACACAGCCCTCTGGAAGATTTGGTTAAACCTGTCCTACATTTTTATAAGTTCAGGAAAATAAGCAGGGGTGGGTTAGGCTCTTACACTTCTCTAGACCTCCAAAGAAATCTAACAAAGCACATTTTTTTCTGCTCATGAGTAAAGCAAGCCCTTTTTACACGTTCACCTTATCCTTTCATCCACACTGACCTTGCCCTTCGTCTCCAGTAGCTGCTGGCTGTCAATATGCCTCCTCTTCACTTAGAGAGAATGTGACTTATAATTAAATGGCATGGGAAACAAGCGCTGGGAAAGTTCCTTTCCTACCTGGTACTCACCTTGAACACCTGGTCTAGCGTTAGGTAGCGGTTTGCTTCAGGATGAATGGTCCAGAATGCAATTTTCCCATTGGCAGATGTCTCCCGAACAAACATGTCATGAAGAGAAAGATTGTGACGTACAGAGTTCTGGATTGCAGAGGAAAAATGTTCATTGTGTTCAGTTACAAAACAGGTAGCTGAGTTTGGTGGGAAAAAAGGTACGTGGCACCTTAAAGTTGAAGCGATTTTATTACCACATTGCTTTCATGGATCATAGCCCATAGTACCAGACAGATGGAGTACGGTCCTGAGAGAGAACATGTAGCTCGGCCAGAGGGAGCGGGGCAAGAAAGGAGAAAGGAAGGGTGAGGAGAGAGGTCAGAGGTAAGGTGATTTTAGAAGTGGGACATAAAGAGACAGAATTACTTCCAATAGCGTCCATAAATAATCAGTAAATTCAACCACAAAGAAAAACTTACAATTACTTCAGCCTTTCACAGTAAAACAAAAGAGGCCTGTGGATCTAAGAGGGCAACCATCTATTATTGGCCTTGGAAAGAAGGGTGGGCAGAACTGCTTTAGTGATCAACCATTAAGCAGCAATGAGGACATTCTTTCCACTGAATTAATCATTGGATTTTATGCCTAAAGAATGAGGTTGAACTTTCTAATTAATTTCTGCTCAGCAGTTTTGCAAAACAATTGGCCTTCTTCTTCTCCTGAACAGCCATCTTGAGATCAGAGACGGCTGAGGACTTGAAGGGTCTCCCTGCCCGCTTGGGGGGATTATCAGGTTTGTATCCATTCTCCTGTGGAACAGAGATTGGCCGGTCTGTCTATTGCAAAGGATATAGCGAGGCTCAGGGAGGAGAGATGATGGCAAATATTACATCGGTCAGCCCGAAATGGAGATTCTTTTACAGGTTCTTGGAGGTAGCGAGAATCTGCTGAGGTGCCATCTGGATCTTTCGTAGGTCTGTATCACTCCAGAATAGCCTCTGGCTAGTGAATTATTCAGGAAGATGCTAGAAAGACTTTAATGTTTTATTTATTCATTTATGTTCTGATTCAGGGATGAGCAACCCGCCACACTTGTGGCCCACAAGCACTGTGTTTATTTCCCCCATCCCCAAGGCTGGTCTGCCAAAATTTGGCAGCAAAATCCTAGAGAAGCTAAGGATTGGAAAGACCACAGAAGCTCAAGCCCCACTCCCTGCTCCGTGCAGGGATCCAAGGAAAAGCACCCCTCCTCTCGATCACATCCA